CTCCTGGCCTTGGGCACACAGCTCCAGAGCTTGTCTTTAGAAGGCTGTCATGGAAAACTGTATTTGTCTTTTAAAAGTGCATCTGCCTGGCTGGACAGGGAGTCCTCTGGGCAGAATCCACCTCCTCTGTGTGCCTGGCACAGTGCGGGGAGCCCAGGACTCCCACGTATTAGAGGGTTGTGGGGTGCCAGATGTCAAGTCTACCTCAGCCTGAGGAGAAGCCAGAGTGTGGGCAGGTGGGGGACTCTGGGTTGTGGGAAGCAAGCAAATCCCAACATCATCTGCTTCTGCTGCGACGGGGGCTTAGTCCCTTCTCAACCCCAAACGATGCTTTCTCTCTCCTCGTTCCTCTGTGGCATCATCTGGCCTTATAAGGTGCATTCTAATCTCAGCAGTGTTCTGAATACTGAAATTTCTCCTCCTATCAGCCCAGATGTACCGACTGGCAGAAGCTCTAAGGAGAGCAGGCTGAGCTCAGTGGTGTGCAACTGAAAAGGAACAGCAGGGCTCAGGCTATTACTAGAAACAAAACCATTCCAGGAAAGAGTCCTGCAAATTCTAGAAGGCAGCCCACCCACCAGCACCACGTGATTCTGGGGAAGGCCTTTATTGCGCCACAACACAAACCGGCTTTTCACAGGGAGCCATTTCCTTATTTAGGCCAAAGCTCATGTTTCACGGCCACCAGCTGAGACTGTGGTTTTAGACATTCAGCAGTACCATTAAAAGCCCCTCTCTCTCCCCACATGGAGACCATCTCTGGGTCCTGCGGTGCCCTGAGGCACAGAGGAGGAACTGGGCAGGAGTCCTGGCCCTGCTCCTTTCCCCTCCCTCTTCCTTGTCTATTTCCTTTGTCCCATTCTATGCCAGGCCCTTCACTGGATCCTGGAGGTGCAGGGAGGGAGGGAGGGAGAGAGGGAGGAGCACACAGGATCCTGCCTGCCTGGAGCTCACAGCCCAGAGGGGCACAGGCAGGCACAGGGAGTTGCAGCTCGACCTGACCACTGCAGGGAGCAGCAGAGGCCCCCAGGGACCCAGGGCCTGGGAGTGGGGTGGCAGGTCAGCTGAGCCAGGCTGGGACCATCAGGGCAGCCTCTCAGGTGAGGGAGGGGAAGAGGAAGAGTGGCTGCAGGGAAGTGACGGAGGCAGGGAGACCCAGATGTGCAGAGTAGCAGAGGCTAGAGCCAGGGCTGGAGTGCAGGGCTGGAATGTCACTCATTGGGCCTACGGGTGCAGAGCCCAGGGAGGGAGAGGAGGGTGAGGAAGGGCCAGTCAGGAAGGGCCTGGGAGCTGCCCACAGGGTGTGTCCTGGGCCCTGAGGTCAGAGGAAGGTCATGGCCAGATGTGCCCTTGGGAAGGCTGTCATGGGTTCTGAGGGGTTGGATACGGAGTGGCAGGGACAGGCGGCGGGGGCTGGTCAGGGGGCTGTGGGGGTCACAGAGGCAGACATGGGGCTGCCTGAACCAAGTCTGTGGATGGGATATTGACAAGGACACCAACCAGGAGAAGCTTCTGGAGTCCACACTGATTGGTTTTAGTGACTGGATATTGGCGTGAGGAAGAGGGCAAAGGAGAGCAGACCCCAGGTCTAGGATGGGACATCCTGGGATGAGGGAGACGGAGGCTGTCAGCCACTGAGGACAGGCATAGAGAGGGCAAAAATGGAAAAAACCTTCAATGATGAGGCTGCTATGCCCTGGGGCAGGACATGGAGAAGTGGGAAAGAGGTGAGGAAGGGGAAGAAGGTGGGCGAGACAGGAACCAGCATGAGGGGTGTGCAGGGAAGACCCAGCTTGGCCTCCTTCCAGCTGAATGTTCTCAGGCAAGCCTCTCCACCTCTCTGATCCTCAGTTTCCCCACCTGTGTCATGGGATGATCATGCCTTCCCCTGGGGCTGTGGAGAGGGTGCAGTTATTGTAGGACAAGTTCCCACAGAGGCCTGTTCTGTGAGTGCAGAGCCCCCTCGCTGCTGGGAGCTGGGGGGCCCATAAGACCCCACTCAGGCCCCAGCAGGATGCTGTGAGCTCCTGTTTCCCAGAGCATCATCTCCAAGAGATAGGTGTCCTGAGGCTGGATGGGGTAGGGTCTGAGGAGGAGGTGGCTCTTGGGGCCATGGAGAGGCACAGGGAAGGAGGAGTGATGAGGAACTGAGGGTCAGTCTGCAGAGGGTGGAGAGCTCAAGACTCACCTTCCCAGCCTTGCTCCTGGCCTCAGTGAAGGTGCTGGTCCATGCAGGCTCTTGGGTCAGGCTGCTGAGGGGCGCATGTACAATGCACCCATGCACATACATCTGCATCCTCAGCATGCACACACACAGCACACACGCGCCACACACACGCCCAGACAGTCCTTCTCTCTCCCATCCCACAAGATAATTCTCCAGACTTCCAGCCCCCAGTGCCCCCACTGAGGAGAGCCTCTAAAAGTGACAGCAGGGCTGGGGATCTCATGGGGGCTAGAAGCTGATGAACATCAGCAAGGCGTCTCCAGGGTGAGCTGCAGCTCCCCAAGCCAGGGTCCCTGTTCTTGCCTAGAAGGCCGTATACTCCATCTCTGGCTTTTCTGTTGCAGCCACAGCAGGAGCCCAAACCGGGAGACCTGATTGAGATTTTCCGCCTTGGCTATGAGCACTGGGCCCTGTATATAGGAGATGACTACGTGATCCATCTGGCTCCTCCAGGTAAGGACTGATGAATATATAATTTTCAAACTATTTGTTAAAAGGATGACGAGAGGGCCGGGTGCGGTGGCTCATGCCTGTAATCCCAGCACTTTGGGAGGTTGAAGCGGGTTGATCGCCTGAGGTCAGGAGTTCGAGACCAGCCTGACCAACATGGAGAAACCCCATCTCTACTAAAAATACAAAATAAGCCAGGTGTGGTGGCACATG